CATTGTCATCCCATCTGAATGTTATAATCCCTATTTGATGGGAGACATAGAGGTTTATTAAAGTCACATGGCTAGGGTGAACTGCTGTGAGGAACATGAGAATCTTGTCACTGAGCTGGGAGTGGTGGCTTGCACTGGGGAGCCTGAGGCTGGAAACTCACTTGAGCCTGGGATTTGAAGTCAGGGTAGGCTCCATACACCAACTTGAAGGAAAGAGAACAACCCTGTCCTCCAAACACATCCGCTGCCTCTGTTTTTATAGTGTGATGTAATAAATGCACCAGTCATGAGTGTCATACAGGTGGGGGGGATGGGAAGCTGAGATGATGAAGTACTTGCCACACATGAGGACCTAAGTTCAGTCCCCATAACCCCAAAAAAGGTCCAGCATGACCAACCGAGTGCAGTTATAAGTCTAGCACTGGTAAGGGTGGAAACAGACGGATTCCTGGTGCTCACCCCTCAGCCAGCCTAGGCAAGCCCAGACAAATGAGAGATCTTGTCTCTAAACAACCCAAATACAGCAAAGAAGATGGCTCCTGAGGAACACCTGTAGTTGACCCCTGACCTCTATAGACACACATGCACCCCCTGGACATGCACTCACATACAAACACATATGTAGACACAGAAGTCCTAGCAAGGATCTCTTCCTTGTATAAGTAAGAGCGGGGTAACTCCTTGGTACATTTACAAAAGGTCTGTTCCTCGAAACAGGTGGGCCTGAACTCTGACTTCATTAAGCCCTATCTGAACAGTTTCTTTGAGGAAGAGCTCTGGGCACAGGATTTTCAGGTTTAGTCAGCGTCTTGAACGACCTTTCCGAGAGGCTATCGCCACTATCCACACCCCATGGGATAACGAACCCTCACGTTTGCTTCTGTGGCTCAGGCCTCGGGTTCTTCTGCTGTGTCATCTCTTGGCTGCTGAGGGAACTCTCACAAAGACCCTGGCCCTGGCTGGGACAAGAGGGACCGAGCGAGGCCGATAGTGAATGGACACGATTGTCCACGGCGATGTGGGCTTTCTGAGCTAAAGACGGTGATACCGATCCCGTCCTCACTGAAAACGCATCACACTTCTCACAAACTGCGCTCAGGGTTTATCTTGGTGACTTGATTTTTTTTCATGTTTTAAGTTACTGTTTTATTTTGTTGTCTGTGTATTGGAGTTTGCCGGCCATGTGTGTGAGCAAAAAAGTTGACTCAGCTAAAAAGTACCTGCCTAGCATGCCCTGGGTTCTAACCCTGGATAGCATGGAACATTAAAAAGTCATTAAAACTTCTAAAGTTGTATTTCATTCATGTGTAAGGAGTACAGTGCAATTGCCTTATAAATCCTCCTCTGAGGTTGTCTGTGCTGACCACAGTAGTTCCGAAAGGGTAACAAATACCCAGTCCTTCTACTCTGCTCTGTTATAATGTCTCCATTGTTAGCGTCTAGAGGAATATTACACATCTGTATCTGTCCATCTGTATTTAATATAAGAGTGTCCACACCCTAACAGGCACCTTTGTTTTTGAACACAGCCGTGTGCTGTGGACACATTCTGCCAGCGTCTAACAGACTTCCTTCGCCCTTTACTTTTCATGGGCCTCATCGGGCGTCCAACATTGACCAGTCCTCGAAGGAGGACTCCTTAGCTCCAGATTCTTGCTTTTAGAAAGCCATGGCTGGAAACAGCTTTTCCCATAAATCCTCCTTTTAATCGCTAATTTCCTGCATTTCATTGTAAGCAGTTGATGCCTTATGGAAATGGAGAAAGCATGGCGTGAGGCACCATCATATGTAGTTCCATCACGACATCCAATCAGCCTGGCTGGGCTGCTGTGGGTTCCACTCCCAGCCTCATCTGTGGATCTTAAAACAGCCGTAGGACACCCACGCTTCATTTGTGCGTGTCTCGATGCGTGTTTTTCCGAGATGGGAGTGTTTGTTTTATACAGCATTGTTGTCTGTTATCTGTTCTTCACCGGTGTCCAGTCTCCATCTCATCGTTCAAACTGCCTGCTCATACCCTGAGCTGTCTACTCCAGTCTGAAACCGGGGTCTTGTTGAGTGGTAGGGCGTGAGGTGAAGTCCCTGGTTCTTGTGGGCCGCTCAAGCCATGTGTGTCATGACAGAGAGGAATCGAGAGAATAAGCCGAGAGGTCTGTTGCTGTTGTGGGATAAGGGCTGTCGGTGGGTCCATGCTGATCAGGTGCCCTGCAGAGGGAGGAGGAAGCCAAATTGTCCAGGGTGTCTCTGAGGAGGAATCTGGAAAGTCAAGGGCAGTAACTTACAGGGTAGCCGTATCAGGACCCATGTCGACCGCCTCTGCAGTGAGAGGCTGCCTTCCACTAAGGGTGGCTCTGTGCTACTTGCTGGGATGACTTGGTGACTGTCCCGGCTCCGCTGTGTGGTTGTGATTCCTCTGCTTACTCTGTGTGTCCAGGGATGGAGACCCTGTAAGACACTTTGTCCTCTTGAGAGAGTCACTCTCCGTCAGCTGTGATAATCCTTCCCTGGCAGGGCTTTATGGAAGTGAAACCAGAGAGTCTATTACTCTAATAGAAACAAAATATAAAATGACCAAACTTGATAAATATATAATGTCCACGTGACAAAACTTTAATATGCTCCAGAGGGACCAAAAATACAACTCAAGTAAAAGTGGTGCCGGGCTGTTTGTGGATAGGAGCCTGCAGCATGGTGAAAAATGTCCACTCTCGGTTAAGCTATAGTTTGAATATTATTTGATAAAAATATCAATATTGTTTAGGGGGGAAAGGGGGAATTTGGTTAGTTGATTTAAAAAAACCTATTTTGAAAAAGAAAGTAAATGAGGTTTAGAAAATAAACAGGGAGGAGCAGAATAAATCAGGAAACAGACTCAAAAATACTTAGGAAACTAATGTGAAAAATAGTACAGCACACAAGTAAGCTAGATTATGACCGTCACAAATACATTCATTAATGACAAAAGTCACCTCTCAAATCAATGAGGAAAACAGGTAAGCTTCAGGAGTCTTGAGTTCATAGTGTATGCTTTGCATAAGATAAATCTGAAATGTATTTAAAATTTGCATGCAAAAATGTGATATATTATAAAGTGTTAACCGAAAAGTTGTGTATCTCAAGGTCTTACTGCTATAGTAACATAAGAAACCTACTTGTGAAAACCCACTTTTGAGAAGTCAAGTAATGAATTGATGAAAGACACTTCTAACCTGTGTCACTAGTAACTAAGTCACCTAATATATAATAGTTCCTGTGGACCAGTAGGAAAATGGATCAGTAATCTATTAAAAACTGGTCACAGTGCCCACAGCTCACAGAAAAGGATACACACAATTTAAATATGAAGTGTTTAATAAGAGAGACTATAAATTGCATAATAATAAGTATAGATTATCACCACAAAGGGATTTGTTTTCCTTTTCTTTTATTATGAGATTATCCAGGGCATGGGAAAGGAACTTTAATATCAATGAGAAGCACATCCATACTTCTTTATGAATGAAATCTGGCAATACCTGAACATGTTGTAGTCTCTAACTCAGTACTTTCATGTCTGCTGCTTGGTTATTGAGACACGGCCTCACTCTGTACCCCATTCTGGCCCCCAGTTCACAACCCCTCTGCCCCAGCTTCTGCTGTGGGAGTTAACACACATGCACTGAGGAAACCATTTTCTATTTTCTAAATGAAATCATGTAGGAATGAATTTTTGTTAAAGCCACATGGAAACAAAAGCTTTCATAATCAGCAATGTAACTCATAAGTAGATCTATAAGATATAAACCAGGAAGTACTCTGTGCACCTGGGAGGCAGAGGCAGGAGGATCACCAAATGTTTGAGGCCAGCCTGGTCTACAGAGTGAGCCCTCGTGTCATCAAACCAAACTAAACCATTTGTGAACACCAAGCCCAGCCTGACAATTGCTGGGGTCTGGCCTGTATCAGTCCTACACTGCAAGAAACATCTATTACGGACTGATGTCTGTAGGGCTGTGTTCAGAACCAGCCGAACAGCCCTGGGACCAACCCTGAGTGGGGGAGTGTGGATCAGGGAAGTCCTAGCTACCCAGTGGCATTAAGGATGAGACAGAGACATCTTGTCATCTCAGGAGGGCTCTCAGTCCATACTGGAGACTACAGTTTATTCAAGCAACCTCTTGAATAGCTTTGTAAAAGCTGGGGTACTGGCAGAAGACATCTATCATGTATATAGGGCTGACTAGGAAACACTTCCTTTAACCCTAGAGATGGTCCTGGAATGCACGTACACAAGCCCTTAGACTTTCTGTAATGGCACGTCTCACCAGTCTTCAGGCAGGTTTTACTGGTCCCCAGGCACGTCCCACTAGCTCTCATGATGGGTGTGGGGCCTAGACCTATTGTTACACAAACTAGAACCCATTCTCCACTGTGGCCAGGCCATCTGAAGGTAACTGGCCAACATCTAAAAGACAATAAGAGATTCGAGCTCGTGGAACTGAACTGAGGCCTATATTGAAATACCATATTCCGTGCCCGACAGACAATGTATTTTTCTTATGTATCACTTTATAGTAGATGGAACAGGCATATGATGGTTGTATACGGTTTTTCTGATGTTTGCATAGAAGGGGTAGATAGGCAGCCCTATCATGGATGAATTAGCAATTGTCAATACGTTTCTGAAAACAGAGCGTAGTCCTTGCCTCTAGGGAAAGAGTGAGGCCGAGGGCTTAGATGTAGACTTGCCACTGCGTCTACGTGTGCACCGTTTGACATTCGGCCTTGTCTGCTCTGCTCATGCTAATGAACGGGCTGGAGAGAAGGATGGCGGCTTAGAGAGCTGTCTTTTATTGATGTCTTTAGGTGAGGTGGGAGAAGACAGCTGTTTATAAAGTCTGTGGAAGGCTTATCTGGGAAGAAGTGACCCAGAAGGTCCTCACCAGGGAGATGGAGAGGGACTTAGGGTTTGGAGGGCAGTGGTGACAGCCTCTGACCATCCTCTCTTCTCCCCATTCTAGCGGAGCTTCCGAGGACCTCGGCTGTGAGGTTAACCTCCCTACGGGACCTGCCCGCCCAGCTCCTGGAGCTGTATCAGCAAGGCTTCTCACTGGCTGCCCTGCATCCCTTTGTGCAGCCGGCAAACAGGCAAGAGAAGATATTCCTGGAGCACATCTTTAGGGCCATCCTGGTCAAGAAAACCAACAGGTACGGACCCAGCCCTTGTTAGTGCCGCGTCGCATGGAGTGTAAGACATCGGAATACAGAGGGAGGGAGGATGGGATGGGTTTGTGCTCCATCCCTAGGGCCCTGCCTTCTGACAGGTAAGCCAGACAAACAAATGCCAGCAATATCACATCTGGCTGCAAGTAGAGTTCAAGTTCTTATCCCTCCTTTACTTTATGGGTGAAGCTCAGCTAGAAGTCCGTCTTCTCTGCAGAAGCTTGCTCCCGGAGTCTCGCAGCCAGAACAAATGTCATAAAGCCGTTAATTAATGTGAAAAGCCAGGGCTGCAAATGCTGTATTAAAAGGTTTATACAGGCTGTGTTTCCCTCCAAAGTTTAGAAATACTTAAAAAATCTGAGTTCACCAGAAGGCCTGTCAGTCACCTCTGAAGAACACATCTTCTCTTCCTCCCCCACCCCTGCCCCTCACCCCTCACCCCCACCCCTTACCCCTACTTCTTACCCCTCACCCCACCCCCCCAACCCCCTCCCACCCCTCACCCCTCACCCTACCTCCCCCCCTCACCCTGGCACTGTCATTGGGCTAGTCCTTATTTTAATTTTGTAAATGTTCTGAGGCTGTTTTCAGGCTGGGCTGTTCACTTGAGTATTGCCTCTACATTTTAACTTATGCCTGAGTGGAAGAAGAGGGTAATACTCATTTTAAATGCTTAAAGATAATGATAAAAGCAGAAAGTACAATAGGTCTAGATGCTGTTATAATAATAAATTTTGAAGTTGTATGTGGTGGTGGGTACTGTGATCCCATCATCTGGAAGGTGAAAGCAGGAAGGTCAGGACTTAAAGGTCTAGCCTCAGCTACACAGTGAGTCTCAAGTCAATTTCTGTTACGAGAGACTCCAGCTTAGTGAATCCATAAGTAAATACATTGAGTTTTGAGAAAGGAAAAAGGATTTACTCTCTGGCCAGCTGTCTCGGAAGGAATGGGTAACAAGGCTTGTGTTTTGAAGGAAAGGGTGTAGGAAATTCATGTTCCTCTTTGTGAAAGTCTCTGAGGTAGATACCACCTTGGCTTAGCAGTCACAAGGGATACCTGTGGGGCTTGCAGTGACATAGCAAGATGGTCTTCTCTTTATCTCATAGTGGCTCCTGCGATGGAGCTTGTTTTTGTTATGGTCCTGGGTCACTGTGTTGTTTGTAAGGTGACACTGTGCAGTGTCTGTGTTTTACACTCAACTGCTTTCTTTGTGTCCGTTGGCTGTGGATCAATATCTGGTATAATCAAGTGAGGGAATTAAAACCACAGACACACAGGATATGCATAGAATGTCAACAGCTTATGTTAACTGGGCATCCATTCTGTGTCACATGTGATAGCTATAATTTTTGTCTGCATCGTTGGCTCATGAAATGGGAACCCTGCCTTGCTCCTGGTTTTGCAGAGTAGAGACCCAGAGACTACACAGCACAACCACGGTCCAAATTGAGAATCCGTATCAGGCTGCCAGCAACTGCCTGGAGAGAAGCTCTTCTCACACACCAGCCTCGAGTGCATTTTACAGGCAAAGAACACACACACACACAACTACACACTGGTTGGCAGTTGGCAGTTGCAGGGGGAAGTAAAGCAAGCAAGCAGTTTAACAGAAGCCAAAAATGTGCAGTTGGCTGGGGCATTTTGACCCCAGTTTCTGCAACAGGGTTAGTCACTTTCAGGGCAAGGGTGGGGAAAGTTGGGGCTTTTCACAGTGTGTGGGGGTGGGTAGAAACAGGAGGGCGCAGTTTCAGGTTGAATCAAAGATGGTTCCAGCTGAGGCAAGATGGAGCAACTTTGCCGTGCCACACTGGGACCCCAGCCCCCGTGCCTGCATTCTTAGCTCTGGATGATCTTAGGGGAGGGTCTTTACCCATCAGCCCCTGGGGTCAAGTTGCAGGGGTGCCCTCTGTGTGCTCTGCTGTAGGAGGCGATGCTAGCGCAGGACCTAGATGAAGTATGTGTATGGCAAATGTCCTGACACAAATATGAAGATGCCTCTTCCTCTTTCTACACCTGCATAGCACTCCGGGCTAATCTGTCTGCAGACTTCCTGAGGGTGCTCTTAAAGAGCAGTCTGGTTCAGCATGTCTGAAGTCAGGCCTGGCATGCTGCGTCTCCAGGGTGGTCCCAAATGATGCTGACACGGCTGTTCCACGGACCACACTTTGAGTAGCAAGGGTGGAGAGGGCCCGACTCATTCTTATCTGTGATGCACACCGTCAGGGTTTACTGCTCTTTTCTCTGGGGCAGGACCCAAGGCTTCCGGTTGGAGGGCCTGTGTTCCAGGCTACATGTGCTCCTTGGGAAGGGGTATAGTGCCAGGGAGTACCAGTGGAATATTCTATGAGTCTCCCATTGTGTACTTGACACAGTGAGAAGTTTATAACAGGTGATTTGCAAGGCATGTTCAGTCATATGATCAGATGAGCTAGGTGACAGTGTCACTGTTTTAAGAGCAACCCCTTCCCCATTTTGTCCCTTACAAGGCAGCCAGGACAGCCAGGGGTTAAGATCAGGATGCTGGCATGTGGGAACGTTTTCCAGAGGAGAGCATGCCAGGGTCTTTGGTTGGAGTTCATACCCCAGGATGCCCAATCCTCTGTCTGTAACACACACTGTGACTCCTGGGTCAGCTGATGCAGAGAAACATTGACTTTGTGATGAGTCTTTGGAACTTTTGTTTTTAAGAAAGCTGAAAAAAAAAAAGAAATCTGACAATGCACCCGGTTTCCATCCCAAATGGTGCTGGGCAGGAGGAGGCCATGGTTGAGGCTGGGTCCTAAGTTCTCTTAACGGTGTTTCTCTCTCCTGGCCAATGCGATAACTGTGTTTCTGCATCAGGGACCCCTCACTACCCAACTGTAAGCAAGCAAACAAGCAAACAAGTAAACAAAACCCCCTGAAGCTCTGTATCAGCAGGTAATCGAAGAAAGAAAAGCAGAAGGAAGCTTGCACGATTAATTTTTAACATGAACAGATAAAGCAACACTTTTAGCAGAGACTGCCAAAGTCTGACAGCCATAAATACTGTTAAGTGAAATTATTTAGCTCTGGGAAAGGGAGTGAGTGCCTAGTTAATATTTCCCAAGTATGGCACACTGACAGATTTAGGGAAGTTGTCTGCTTTTCTCTGCATCCAAGTGTAGTGCACGGGCAAAACACCACAGAATGACTGCTAGGAACTTGGTAAACCTGAAGCTTTTGAGAGGTGAACACAAAGTTTTCGGGAACTAACTAGATTTTGGGTTATGCAGCAATATAAACGAAACAAGACAAAAACAAAACAAAAACCCAGATCAATTCAAGCTTATGTCCATCCACACATCCTTCCATCCTCCATCCACCCGCAAGCACCTACAAAGGTTGTAAGAATACCATAGGTGTCGTTTGTTTCTAGACCATCATGACAGACATTACAAATAAAGCAAGCCACAGTTTTCCTTTGTTTCTCAGTGTATATAGCAGCTATCTGTGCATTGTACTACATCTTTATTAAGTATGTGGTAGCATTATTTTTTAAATGCACACACTTCAATTTAAAAAGTAGTTTATTGTCAAACAATGCTAATAGTTATATACGCTGTTAGGAGAATGATGTCAGTAGATGGGCTCATTACAGTTTCCACCAGTCTCTGGATTTGTAAAACATGGATTACCTGCGTGATAAACCAAGGGTCCCAGGGTCTTCCTAAGACATTGGTCCAGGAGCTATACCTGGAGTAGGTAGGGGCCTCAGTTGGATATAGCACTTGCTTGCCAGGAACCAACTGGCTGGCTGAGAAATTTATCATGACATATCTGTTATGTCTCCCTCTCACTGAAGGAGAACTTATATTTTAACCTGGGTCTTATTTCTTTAGATGTCTTTAAATTTTGTCTTCATGTTTTGTGTGCACCTCTGTGAATATGCACACGTGGAGGCCAGAAGATGGCTTGAAGGGGCTGGATTTCTCCTTCCACCATGTGGGCCGCAGGCCTCAAACTCAAGCTGTCAGGATTGACAGCCTTTCCCTTCTGAGTCCTCTCTCACTGGGCCTTACTTCTTTCAGGCCCACATAGGAATGCTGAGCGTGAGCTGGGAAGAGTTTATGTAAGTCTCAGAGGGAAATGCCCCGAAGTGCTGTTTGGGTAACTGGAGAATATCTTAATGAACTAAAATCGTCACCTACTGAGTCTCCCCTGCCCCCAGAGGCAGCCCTCAGCAGTGACAAGGCCTCTGAACCCTGCCATTTGACAAGTTTACTTAAATCCACAAGACACTATGAGATCTTTTCTTTCAAAATCATGTTAACTGCCATTCCATGTCAAGATGGCAGGTCAAGCTGCAACCCTGTGTTGGTGTTCTTCAGCTGGGTGTGTTGGGTTCAGTCGAAGTCAGTTCCTTGGAAAAGTGGCTCCAGCATGAACGGCTGAACGTGTAATCTTGAGTAAACGGGAGGACTTTGCGCCTTCCTTCCTTACTTCTTTCTTGAGACCACTTAGCGGTTTTTAACGCACAGTGTAGTTGCATTTTGTATGGCTTCTAAGTGTAGTTAAGTTACTCTTCTGTTTTCTGGGCATTTTTCCTTAGAATGAATTGCCAAAAATTTTTGAAACTTCAAGACTGAGAGAAGTTGGTTATTAAAATGTCATGTATGATGTTTTATGAGTGTGGCTTTAATTCTAGGTGGTTTTACAGTTGTGGATGGTTCCCAGACACTGAGTTGTTGTTTATCACAGAGCTGGTTTTGAGCTAATCCAATGTGCTGACAGGGTTTTCCTTTCTGATGGGTTCAAGCTGCTTGGACCCAGGCTTCCTAGAGTAATGTCTGAGCTGGCATGGGGACGGTCATGGAGGGCAGGGGTCTGAGCTGGTACTGGTGGGGAGGAGCCTTTTGGCCTAGGGAATGAGACCCACAGAAGAACTAAAACTGCTGTAGACAAAACACCATGTGTCTAATCAAAATTACCCTTTGCTGTCGTTTTACATTTCCACGAAATGCAAT